GGGGGGGGGGGGGTAGCAACTCTGGTAGACAGTGGTGATACGAAAGAGCTTGCTAAACCTCTGAAAACTGCTAATAGTGGTTGTTTATCCTCAGTTTTGAGGAACCACAAACAGCAGAACTGAAAATGCCGAAGGATTATAGTGTTTTTCAAATGCTGATTGCAGCACTTTGCTGCTTTTATCATCGTAAGTCTATTATCAGAGTCAAGGTAGGTGCCCTTTTTCAATAACAGTAAATATACAGTGTGCTAGTCAGTAATGCTTTTATTTTTTGTTCAGAAGTGTTTGTTTTTATACAATAGTTGGGTACAGTGTGTTTCTGTTCTAAAGAACATCTTTAGAGTTCACCATTGTCTCAGAAGCTTAAAACAATTTTCAGTTTTAGGAGCCTGAAGCTGACTGTCTTTATGTTTAGGCACTAAGTTAAAAATGCCCTGGTTTGGGACCTGCTGAAGAGAATTTGAGCAAAGTTTCAGACTTTCAGAATTTAACTGATCAGACCACTTGGTTCCCTAACTTTTTCACCTACTTACTGAAAACATAGGCAATTGTGCTCAGGAGCTCAGGTTTTTTAAACACTTCAGGCAATTTTGGACTTGTCCTTATATTTTAGAACTTTCTAAATTACAAAATACACAAAATCCTATAGAATGGTCTGGGTTGGAAGGGACCTTTAAAGATCATCTAGTCCAACCCTCCTGCCATGGGCAGGGACATCTTTTACTTTATGCAAAAATGCACTATATGCCAAGAAAAAGACTTTATAAAGATTTCGAGCCACGCTTACAGAAGCATCTGAGTCACTTGGAATTGAATTGTAATCAGGTAGGGTATCTAACTACTTTTGGGGATCTGTGAGCTACACCTAAGCTTTTAAATCTCTTTATTTAAGATCTATGTTTGAATTGTTCTTTGAATGACAAAGTGACTTACAGAGCTGACATTGTGTAACGTGTATAGATTTTTCTGTAGCACTTGAAATGAGGAAGGATGTGAAGGTTGCTATCTTCTGGCCTGTCAGCTTTCAGACTTTGATGGAGGCACTTAAAAGTTGGAAACATCTGCCCCCTTTCTCTCTTCTCCAGTGATTTAGCCTTTTAACTGACCATTTCTGGAAGTAGGGTGTGGGGCTCAGTGTTTTGGGCACACTGAAAAAGTGACACTGATCAGACTGTTTTCTCTTTCTCATGGGAACAAATGTCAAAAGTTATCATCAGAATAGAGCACTAAAGATGCTCTCCTGTTACTGTAATTAATTTTAATTTTCATTCTACTTTTAAGCATAGGCCTAACTCTTCTGTTCTGAAACTTTTAAAATTGCATTGAGTTTTATTGTTGGCTGTCAGAACAGTTATAAAACCATTGTTCTTGACCATACATGCCCTTTGTTTAACTTGGCATGAATTTCTAATACCTAAAATAATAGTGGAGTTGTCATGGCGACTTTCCATTTAGTCTAATCCATACAGTCTCTAGAGAAACTGAAACATTAATAGTGTTTGCTGTATGGAGGGTAAAAAATAAAACCTTTTATGTAGAAACAAATTACAGCTGGGCTCTTTCAAAAATAAGGTTCTATTTAAAGAGATTTGCAGCATTTAAAATAGATTTGAATGCATGTGTTCCAGCATGCAGATTTAGCATTAGTTAAATCTGATGAACTGCTATTTTAAGTAGTTCTGATGGTAGGTGACTGGGGTGCGTTTGCTGAAGAGAAAATGGCTGTAGGTATAGAAACGGCTGGTGGTCAAATCAAGTAAGGTCTGCACTTTGGGGCCAAATGATGTATGTTCCGTGAAATACCAAATTGCCTAGGATGGTGTGAACCACGGAGCCTAAGTCATCTTCTTTCTTAATTTGTGAAAACATACCACTTCAAGCAAAATCAGTTTGTGTAATTAGATTAGATTAATTCTTAGTTTTAATAGTAATTACAGTTGTAATGTAATACCAAATTGATCCATAAATAAAGCATACTGAAGTCTGCATCTGCCTCTGAGGGATTCAGGTTTTTTGCTGCACCAAGATAAATTCATTGTAATTATGTTGTCCGATTTAATTGAAAACAGCGTGTGGCCAAGATCAGAGGTGCCTCGTTGTGTCCCATCAAAGCACAGGAAACAGTACAGCACTTGAGTACTCACGTTTTCCTGTACTTAATTTTAGCAAGTGAAATTAGGATCTCAATATCAGATGTTTGGATTGTTTTCCTGTACATTAATAGAAAATATAATGATAGGTGCAGAACATTTGAACTTGGATCAACTCATTCTTCAGTCGTGATGTATCAGTACCTTTTAGAATCCCGTTTGGTTTTAATAGCTCTTTACAGTTAAGGTCAGCTTCTACATTTGAGGAAAATAAAGGGAAACTTCAAGGCAAGGGGTTCCTGTTTGTGGTTAAAAAAAAAAAAAAAGACAGTGAAGAGAGAATTCTAAATTGTGACTTACACCACTTCCAAGCCAAAATCTTGTTCTTTAATTTTTTCAATTTTTGGAAGTTATGAATTAAGACTAAATCAGTGATAAATGATGACTTAAAAAATGAAGAGGTCTAAATTAATAAAGTTAACTTTGCCACAAGACAGGATTTTTTAGTTCTAGCTAGTATGGTTGTCACGATCAGAAGGAAAGACCTTGAAGTTCAAATATTTTCTTTCTTAATTCTCTGCTATGACTCACCCTCAACTGAAGCTGAGCAAAAGGGGAAAGCCACTCAAATTATCAGGACTGCCACGTTTTAAAACTTCCAGCACGTTGATCTTGCTCATTACTGGGTAATGTACTAATGCTATTAATGTGGCATATGTAAGAAGCCTTTTATAAGCAGCTACTTACTGCAAGTGCCATCTCTTATCTTGGATGAATTGCAAACACTTTTTATAGATAGTAGATCTTAATTAATATTTCTTCAGTATGTGATGATCTAAATCTGTTTCACTGGCATACTTGGGTTTCATGTATCCAGTTTCAGCATGTATGTGGAGACAGTTGAACTTGATAACATGAGTTTATAAGTCATCACCACCTAGCATTACAGGCCTGCCGTTTTGATGTTAGATTTGTTGTTGTTGGAGAGGGCCAGACAGGAAAAAACTGACTTATCAAAATTGTGTGACATTTTGTATAGCTCCCCGAACTTTGTTGCCTCATTGTCTTGCTACTGAGTTTGTTTTGATGAGTCTTATACTATATAAATTTTTTCATTTTCCTATCATAATTTTATACAGTTTATCAAACTTTCACTGCAATATACCCTCTATCGTAAATACATAGATAGCACAGGGACCACTGGTGCTCTGTAAGTGATTCCTGTTAGATGGGAATGGGAACATTCTCCAGTAGATATTTATGCATTTAATTTCTTGGTAATACTTTTCATTTAGTTAGTTCTTGGCTTAAAACAAAAAACCTGCACAACTAAAATCCTTTTGATTTGGTAGTCAAAATCTCCAGGTCAGGAGATTAGGATTTGACTAACTCCAAACTCAGGATTTCTCAGGGTCTATGTTGTAGAAATGAGGCTGTCCTTCTAGGTCTGAATGTGGTCACCTAGAAAATTAAGGGTTTGTTATCAGTGTAGTGTTGCAGTGGAAGGCAGATGCAGAGTCCACTAGAATCAAGTCTTTCCATTACCTTCAGTTAACATTAGGCTGAACTTGGTACTAAAAGCCTTTTTTTATCTTCCTCCTCCCAAATATCTCACTTGTCAGTTAATAAAAAATGGCCACTTTTCTGTGAATGTCAGGCCAGTTATGTTGTTCCTAGTGGCAGACTGAGAACATGCACATGATGGAGTTTATTTGATTTTTAAAGAGTCATTACAGTCATGATGGAAGTTTTCTTGGTGATTTGTTATCTTTTCATCAGTAACCTCAGAAGTCATCACCTCCTTCCTAAACAAGCACACAGAAATTTTGTGGCTTCAAAATTGCCATTCTTCTGTATAAATTAATCTCTCCGAGTAGTACGAGATTTCTCTCCTGTATCTACCACATCGCAAAAGTTTGTATTTGTTCTGTGTCTCAACCAACCAATTAGGCCACTGAAAAGCTAAAAATAAAATCCTGCAGAAGTTGGCAGTCATCTACGCAAAGAGACTTATCACCCATTTTGTACCTTCCATTACTTCACATAGCACTTGTTATAGTCCTGCATGACTTGGTGCACTCTGAAAGATTAAACTACCCCTGTGAAGAACATTGCCATAGTTGTAGTTCAAAATGTCCAAGTTATTCAGAAAATGGTCTCCTGAATTTAGAAACTCCCTTTTCCCCATTAGTTCTTTCTCCAAAAACTATTTCAGAAATAACTTTATCCATGTGTTCTTGTCACTCTGTAAGTTCTTGGCCAATGATACTACTTTACTGTTGGTCCTTATTTTCTTCTGTACAAAAATCTTTTCAAAGACGGAGAGTCTGGTTCGACATGGGTATTCTTTTAAATGCCTAGTGCAAGTCTGTTGGTTTTGGTGGCTGATTAGTAGCGTTATAAGTGGAATGAAATACATTGTACTCTTTAAAATTAAAACATATTATAAATCGATGTAACTGCATGTTTTAAAATGCTTATACTCATAGTGCTAGACAGGCAGTGTGATCAGGATCACAAGAGCACAAGGTTAGAGACTTAAGGGATCTCTCCAACCAGTGGAGTATATCTTGATCCAGAATTGGAACTTTGACAATAAAATGTTCATTATCTGTATGAACAAGTTGGTTGCTCTCTGGTGGTTTGGAAATAGAAGAATTTCATTAATTTTTCACTTTTCCAGATGTTTTTAGTGTCCTGTGTCTGTGTTTCCCCTCCCTTCTTTCTCGTTTCACATCTTTGTCTTCCCTCTTGGTATTTCCTGTCCCTGCCCCAGCATCCCCTTCACATTTTCGTGTTGATTGGTCTTTCTGTTAAATTATCCACTTGGCTAAAAGCTATGTAAATCTCACAAAATCTAAGTTTTTGCTGAATCACAAAGTATCTCCTATCTCTCCTCATTTATTTGGAGATTATGTAGCACCTAGTGATTTTACAAGGTCAGAAAGTTGTAGTTCAGAGTTCATAGTGCACTTAAGCAAATATAGCAGGTTTCTGGTGTTGGAGAAGAGATGGACTGGGGAGAAAGCTGTAGTAGATTTGGTTTAGATAGATCTAGTACAGTTATTACAAGTTTAGGAAGGGTACTGGCTTGACTTATTTCCTCAATCAGATCACAC